CTCATTCCCTTTCTCCTCTTTCACCATCCACTCCTGACCTCTTTTCAATGATAGATATATATATAAACACATTATATGATTTGACTTCATGCAGGATTCAAATCTGATGTTACTTTCACGCCTCACCAACAGCCTGAGCCGACACTTTCTTTTCTTGAGTAGTAAAACCTAAATGAAAAACAGATGTTCTGTACTTTGGAATCAAACTGATAAAACTCGCTCTCCCTTTCCTCCCTCTTCTTCCTCCTTTGTGCAACCTTTTCTGTCTTTCCTTCACTTCTCCCTGCTTTAATACATCTCTCTTTACATGCATCTTTTGCTTCTTCTTCTTTCCCATTTTTTACACTCCTTGTAGCCTCCTCTCCTTTAGTTTCCTTTGTTCTCTCGTCCGTCCATACTTTCTCTCTCTCTCTCTCTCTGGCAGCGAGCTGATAGTTGAGTCTGAACAGGATATTTTGGCTGATCTCTCTCACGTTCTGGTCCATCGGTTTTCCAGCGCGGCTTCGTCCTGCACGCTAAACACCGACTCATAAATCAAAACCTCAGCGAGCAGCTTGGAGCACCTCGCCAGCGTGAAGTCTCTCTCTCTCTCTCTCTCTCTCTCTCTCTCTCTCCCCCCCCATGAGAACCTTATAGTCCGGACCTCAAACCACAGACCAAATCTTAATTACAACCTCAATTCAAATCCTAAACTAATTCCTTAAAGTCACGACAAAACTATTAACTATTTTTTTTCGTCTAGCTTGCCAACTCTTCATGCCTTTTTAATAAACCAAAAGATCTTTTTTTTTTGGTCAGAATCTCATTACTTTTACCTGCTCATAAGAGATGCTTCTTTAATTATCACAGTGTGCACCAGGAGGCAAGAACACAAAGTTCCAGCCCATAAAACGTTCACAGATTCCCCTCAGATTAAAGTGTCTTACTTTACTGGATATTTTGCTTGTTTTGAACTAATTAACTAACAATATTCCATCTCAACAGGAAGTAAATCAAAAGATGTACACCCCCCCCCCATCCAAAAGTAAAACAGAAAACAGCTTGAAGTCACTTTGAAAAATACAATTTTCAGTTTTTACTCTTTTGTACAAACCACAGAAACAAGACATAACGCGTTAATAAGTAAGCTGAAGAGGTCACGGCAAAGAATCCTGCAGCAGAATCCACCTCTCTGCTGGTTATCTATATGTTCAGTTTCTCCATCACTGAAAACCTCCTCAGAGCTCTGAAGCTCCAACAAGCTTCATTGGACATGGGACATACTGAACACATGAATGAACAGACAACTGCTACACGAGTGCTTTTAGGAGTTCCAGTGGTAGTTTGGGTGATTTTATTCACCGTGGTTCTGGGTCGGCCCCCCTGCTGTGCGCTGAAAACTGCTGTGAATGCAAACTGGCTACAGAGCCACGTCCCAAGTGTTTGAATCTCTGTGGTGCTTTGAAAACACATTTTCGTTCAGAATAGTTTTCCTGCTCTCCGAGCAAAAGTTAGAGGAAAAGGATAAATAGCCCTCGTGTCTTTGCAGGCTAGCTTAGCACAAAGGCTGTGAGCAGCTAGCCCGGCTCTGTCTGAAGTACCAGCACCTCCAAAGCTCACCGATTACCATGTTACATCTCCATTGTTCAAACTATACAAAGAACCGGAGAGTGAAACCCATCACACCGGTTTCCAGTCTAAGGTTAGCCATCCAGCTGCTGGAAACAGCTGCTTCAACAAGACTCCACGAATTCAGAGGCTTTGAATTCCAAAAACACCACAAAACTGAACAATGGTCGATTTAAGCACAGGAACCCAAATATTACACAGCAAAATAGGCAAATGCAAGAGGGCGCACAGAAACATGCATCTAAAGGGAGAACAAAAAACACATTCCATTAGCCTCTGTCCGTGTGAGGGCAGGGAAAGCAATACGTCTGGGTGGCCAAGCAGAGGATATGCAATAATTCCAGGTCTGCACATTTTTCAGCCGTCAGAGTAATCTATTGGAAGCCAGTCAACAGTGGAAGTGGTGCTCTGTGCATGTGTGTGTGTGTGTGTGATGGTGGGGTAAGTATAGTGGGATGTCAGCATACAGAAAACTCCACACACACAGTTTACAAAAGTCCACAGAGGTAAAAAGAGAAAACACCCGGCGTGGTGATTCAGGAACAGGTTGTACATCAACCACACGGGGACAGGCAGAGACCTCCACAGTGAGGAGGCACAAAGGAGGAGAAAACAGAACCTTTAACTGCCTCGGCTGATCCTCTCCACCCTTTACTGCATCCATCAATCTATCTATTCCCTCCATCTCTCCATCCAACTACACATCCATCTTTCTTCCCCCGTTTTCGACGGACAGCGCGGCACACTTTTAATTTAATGGCACAGGCTTTAGAGGGAAGTGGAGGGGAAAGAAAATATAGAAAAACAAAAAATAGAGTTCTCCTCTGTGAGACATATGGCTCATTAATTGAAATTTTTGTTTGAACTTCCTGTCAGCTGACGTCATTCACAAACGCTGCAACCAGAAAACTAACCTGGCACTAATTTAGCATGATTACGTTTAAAACTGCAAAACGGACATTTTATTGTATAGTTGTGACGGAAATCCTGGCGGCTCATTTAAAGGCACATAGAGCACTCTGATCTATGCACAGTATTCATATATTACTTAGACATGACAAAGTAATATGTTATGACAAAACAAGACATGAAAATATCACTTTTTATATCATATGGCAGCTTTAAATACTCTATGTATATTTTCAAAACAGTTTTATCATTGGCTGATGGTTGAACAGCTGAGCTGTTTAAAAACAAAAAAGAGCCCAAAATAAGCTTTTCTTCCTCGATAGTGTCTCCTCGTCATCTACAAGCATGGTGACGTCCCGACTGCAAACAGAAACAGCGATATCGTCCGTCTACAGGCTCCACACAGCAGCACTTTAAACGACATTAAAACCTGAATGCAAATGTAGAGACGAGTCAGTGTAGATGCTGAATTTTGTGACACGTATTCCTCAAGAGCACTTATAAGCAAACCCTCTCGGTCAGATGCATTCATCACGTAGTCCGCTCATCTGAATCTAGATCAGCTATTGATAATGAAGAGTGCGTCGCCACAGCTCAACAGCTCCCTCGAGGAGATATGAAAATGATCGCCTCTGCTGCCGCTCGGCTACACGTTATCGACTTATAGTTACAAATCTATCCGCTGTGCCCGTGAGTTAGAGAGCTAATAACGTCTTTATATAGCTGTGTCCGCCCTGTGAGCTTTCAGACGGGCCGCCCAACGCCACAGCGGCTGAATTCACTAATTAGCACGACTTCGTCCAGAGAAGAATTAACGGCCCGCACCTCCTGCTGGAGCGTTTGATTGGAAAAGCAAATGTGCTCACGCTTTCATCCCCTCGGTGGTTCATGATTGGAGACCTCTCTGTTATGGGGGGGGGGGAAATCAACAATGAGTCACATCAGGCAGAAAATTGCTGCTGCACTGTTAATGGGCTGAAAGTTTGCAGCATGCGGCCCTTCTGGCTACACCTCAGCATGTGATGTTAAAACAGGTGCTGGTGCACGAGCTGGTGAAGAAAACGTGCGAAAAATAACATAAAAGGGAAAGCAGTGCACTAACAGTCTTCTGGCCTCCGCGGGTTGAGGTGTTGGTTTACATTTTGGGATTGGAGACCGCAGATAATTTACCCCCCAACATTCTATTTCACTCATTTATTTCTCATCAAGACTTTGTTATCGGACTGCACCTTGCGTGACTTGATGTATATTCTTTCTGTATCTTCTTGCACCAAATAACTAATATATTTATGTTTACTTGCACATGCACACTTGTATAAAGAGAGGCTTGAACATTGTGCAGGAGAGGTTAGAACGAGCTCCCCTGTTAGATACACACACTTGAAAAAGGATAAAAGCTAAAGAAAATAAACTGTATAGGTCATCAAAATTTCAAGACTAAGCAGTAATACAAAAAAGTATTAAAAAAGTGCAAATTACATAGAAGTTGAGATGCATAGCAGTAAAATCCACAGTGTTATAAAACTTTAATTAAAGGCCTTTTTAGATGTTTTTTTGAATAATAATAATGTCGATGGTGAAACTAACTAAATACAAACGTCTGTAAACTAAACGCTACAGATGGCCACCTCTTTACCATGCACACACAACTCACCAACCGTTACCGTGTATATAACGCAAACAGAGGCTCTGTACAGTGGGGCTGTAGCTGCCAGCTGTCAGACACTACTTCTGACTTTATTTGGGCTTTCATAGCTTTCACTGAGCCTTAAAACCCACTCAACGTATTGTGCTGTTTTGCTGTCAGTGCGTTGCTCTTGCTGCTCCACAGAGCACTTCTATTTTGAAAGACGAGCAGCTGTAAAAACCTCGTTATTGCCCCAAATATGTACAGAAAATGTAAACAGTAACTGTGCTGAGGCCACAGACTGTATACAAAGATGGATGACAAGACTCCAGCCCCATCAGCCCCCGGTGACTGACTGCAGTATCTACTGTGTACTAGAACGTGCATCATTTGATCATAAATGTATTCATAGGGATATTATGGATACTTGTTGTGTCTTTCTAGCCAAGTAGCTACCGTGATGCTAACGCTAGGTGGCTCTCGCGCTAAGAAGCTGCGGCTGAGCTCGGCTCGGGCGGTTTGTTTGGGGGCGGGACCTTGATACCATCACTCCAGCCCCCCCCCCCCCGATCACGACAGTATCCATCCCGTATCCATGTACACATAAAGTCTATAGCTGCAACACACCACAGTGCAGCAGCGAGCTACAGGCACGAGCATAGTTCTTTGGTTTATGTTTTGACAACTTTAAAAGTCACGTTGTAGTTGAAATCAATCCAGAATCATTTCAAGGTTTTTCTCATCACACTGAATTACACTTAAATCCCTTTCACAATAACGCATCAACACTTCAGTGCACCACATTAGAATGAATGAATGTGATTAGAGACTGTGTGTGTGTGTGTGTGTGACTTACTTGAAGCCAGGTGAGACTGTTGCACAGCTGCCTGATTTGAGCCAGATGCAGTAAGGGTCCCGTGAAGACAGACAGCTCCTGCAGACAGACACAGACAGACAGACCGACAGACGGTCAGTGATGGCGGTAATTGTGGAGAGCAGCGTGTGTGAAGAACACTGAGCCCAGCTGCCATTAGCTGGTTGATGAGGCACCGCGCTGCCGCCGGCCTAACAACACCCATCACTTTTCCTCACATCCGAGCTTCAAGTGCAGCTCCGAACGAACCACGTGACTGAGAAAACAACCGAAGCTCATCAAGATAAAGATAAATTGTCTGCAGAAATGGCCGTGAAAAGTTGCACAAATAAATAATTTAGCATCTCTAAGTGACAAAACAAAAGCAACGTCATTGCTGCATAAATCCTCACATCTTAGCTGTGGCTCTTCATTAAAGTCTCATCGTCTTGTTCTTATGCAAATCAACTGGTTTGTTTACGTCTGTTGACACACACAGATGTGCAGCAAACAGTAGTGCTAAATGATTCTTATGACTGGATGATGATGATAACACATGGTTATTTTACTACATGCACGCTACAGTATCACCAGTGCATGTATTCACTTTCAAACTTTAACTAATTATCCCAGCATTGCTGCTTTCTTCATAAGACACAAAGATAAAGACAGAAGACTGTAATCACATAGTTTTTCATTCAGACTGTGGATTTTTGTTTTCCTACTGAATTGAAGGAAGAACAGAGCTCGTCTTGTACTCTTTGCACTTCTTTCAGGCTTTAAAATCCCAGTCCATATTTGTTTTGATCATACAAATTAGTATTCTATAGTGTTCATTGCAAAAAGAGGTTTTTCCAGAGACGGCTCATTGATTGTGGGCACAAACAAAGAGAATCAGACAAATCGGATTTTGGTTTCGATCCCCAAAGTACAACGCAACGTCATATTCAATAAGCCCCCCTATCCGGACATCCAGTATGAAACAGACCATAAAGCAGGGTATGCTTCAGGGCGGGGCTACCTTGTGATTGACAGGTCCCTACCACAGCGTTGTAGAGTTGTCCGTGTTTTCGTCTTAGAACTTTAACCCTTTCACAGTGTGTCTTCAGTGCAAGTTAACTAACATTTTGGTCACCTAAACATCAACAGCGATCGGTTGTTCTTAGCTCCACCCTCTCGTGCCCAAAACCAAGATGGCGACAGGCAGAATGACAAACCCGAGGCTTCAAAAGGACAGTCCACTGACCAAAGGGGGACGTCACGGTGACTACGTCCACTTCTTATACACAGTCTGTGGATTACATGCTGTACCTTTAAGCCAGTCACTGGAGGTCACTCAGGCCTCATTGATTAGCAATGACTGAACCTTGAGTGAACAGCCAGCGTAGCTCCGGTCTCATGTCAGCAGTCAGCAGACGAGTCAATCACCTGCTCCTACTTACAGTAATGTATGTCTTGCTTTGTGATTTAGCAAAATAACATGCTGAGTGTGCTTGGAAACGTATACTTCCTCCATTTAAGGCGGTCCGCATTAACCACCATCAGCAGCCATTAGTCACGTTCCCTACGGTATGAAATCACAACATTCAGTACTTTTCCTCCGCGGGTCCGTTTCGTTGCTTCGACTCTTCCGCTGATCTGCTGTCAGCCCCTCTGCCTCGTGTTCAACTCTGCGGTTTTATAATCCTGCACTCTGGAATGAGTTGCATGATCCTCTTGGCTTTCATCCTGCCACTGTATAATTACAAAACAACGCTGGGTGTCAGTGTCAATTAACAATATATATTTTTTTAATTCACAGCTGCATAACCTTCAAGTGGTTTTTGCCAAACAGCAACAACATAATGAGCACGGAGTCCGCAGCGACGGAACACAACAATGTTCACCTGCTGCCAGTCGACACTCACTTTAGAGATGTTTTCATGCTGAATAACAAAATCAGAGATGATGCTGAACAAAGATCTGCAGATTTTTAGTGCAGTGCTGCGTCACGTCAAACCCAGTTTTAATGAGGACTCCTGCGGCCTGTTTTAAATATCTAAAATGATTTGAAACCGTCTAAAGTGAGCATGCAGGTGTTGCACCACCTTCACCCCTCAGTTTGCAAACGTTCCAGAGAAATCCCACTGAGAGCACATTAGTGTGTCGCTCTCACAGAACAGAGGGAAATCACACAAAAGGAGTACCCCGTCCTACGGCTGCAGCTGGAAACGGAGCATAAACGCACAAACTCTACATATGCGAGCACTCTTTTGTTATGGAAACAACAAGATAATAAGACATCAGCAGCTGATCTCTGGATGCCACAAAGAAACATAACCAACTCAGACTAACTGACACGATTCACACGTCTTGTCAAGAGGAAGTAAGTAAGTAAACATACGTTGGTCCCTTCAGACATGTCCACAAACACTTGCTTCTGTTTTTCTTGGGAGCACAGTCTCTAATAATGCAAACAGCCCTCCAGTTCATACAGATGTACTGAACTTCATGCAGTTGGTTTTCTGTGGAGACCGCAAACCGTGGCTGTTTGGTTTTTAACATCTCCTGTGAGGCGTCTTTAAGCCTTTTTTTGCCGAGGACTTTTACTGACGATGAGCATCCTGGTGAAGAAACATCGTCTCCACCGGTTTCATGTGCGTTTCTATCAACTGGTTCGGCCAGGCTCTACGCATGGCTGTAATCCGCCTGTAAACAGAGCAGAAGAACAAGTAGAGGCTGTCGCCTTGGTCTTCTTACTCATCTACAAGAGAAGAGAGGTCTTCAGGAATTAGTTTCTACTAGCTTCATGTTTTAATAGTTCTTTCATGTTTCATGACATCCAGAAACAAAGACAATATAAATATGTTTCAGAGAAGACGCTGTCAGCAGAGACAGCTGACCAGTGATGTGAGTTAAACGTTTGCTACGTCAGAACTTATTTGCCAAAAATATCCCATTTAGGGCATCAACTCTTTTTCGACAACCTCAAGAGAAAGTTTAACTATTTTATTGAATTTTGCCAACTTTTCTATAATGCTATACTTCACTCATTAAAACATGTTCCTGAAAGCACGGCTATTGTGAGCTTCACTTAACCGTCTTTTACTCACAAACTATTGCAGAGTTAAGTGTTTGTGTATTGTGCTCGTACTAAATCCCGCTGCAGAGTATTTTCACCTCAACATGCAGATGAAGTGGTGAAATCTAAACAAACCGTCTCTTCATCAGCAAAAGCCACTTCCTGTCTCTCGCAGCACCGCAGACTGACAGAGGACCTCTGAGTAACTAGGTCGACAGAAATGTACCCCGCCAACCTGTGTGGCTGCCAACTGAGCGACACTATATAGTGCAGCTTTAATACATTATTCATAGGCCTGCCATAAGGTATGTGTGCATCTCTCTCCTCCTCTCCATCACCGGGTTCCTCTACAGAGACACGACAGGAACGAACCTCCACACTGCAGCACTATGGGAAAAAAAGAGGCCAGCTGTGGTTTCAGGAAGAGACCGACATTGTCCTCATATTCGCAGTTTATGTGCGACGCAGGTTTGCGTGCGTCCCTCGTCAGGCTTACGTTCTGTCACGCTATAATGAACAGATGTGCGTGTACGTCGGCCTGCAGCCATCGCGTGTGAGGAAGCTCCATTAGCTGCTGAGGAGAGAAGGGACTCATCCAGCCTCTGACTCATAACCTCCAGCTGTCGTTTAGCCGACGTCCTGGGAATAACCGCCCCGACTTACTGGAGATGGTTTTGGGCTGATGTGACGCTGCTGGTGAACGACAGAACACGGAGACGTTTGTCTGAGAAGTATAACTTTTAATAGACGTAGATAGGTGGTTAAATACTGCTGTCGCGCTACATTTTAATATGTAGCTTTGAGCTTTTATTAATATCTAAATCCGCCTTTGTCATTCTCAATCAAATTAAACAATGGGATTCTAAGTAAAAGGAATATTCTGTTTATTAAAACTTTGATCTCAGTTTATAGTTTTGCTATAAATGTGGCAACATTGCAACAAAGAGAATAATCATGTTTTTTTCAATTTGAGAAGTCACTATGTTTAAACTGTTCCTATAAAAAAAAAAAAGGAAATCTCCTCCAGACTTGAAAATCCCACGGATCTACAGATCTACAGGGTTTGGGGCCTCTTTTGCCCTTTTATTGTATTTCTTTATTAAAACTCCCATTCCCTACAGTTTCCTAGCCGCTGCTGAAAAACAGAATATTTTCTGAAACCTAATATTGGCAGCAGGGCCTCGAGTGAAGAAAAAAAAAAATAGGAATCCTGACGATGCAGGGTGAGGGAGGAGAAACAAGCCGAGAGAGAGCGAGAGAAATGCAGAGGCAGAAATGGAGGCAGAACAGAGAGAGCGAGAGCGAGAGAGAGAAAATCTCATCTGGAGGGAGACGGATTCATTGGTGTGGTAAAGGAGGATATGGTGGCTGAAACCTGACCTCCTGGCCAGTGCTGATGAGGCTTTCGGGGGCCCCTAATCCCAGGATGAGGTGTGCTGTAGCTCCAGTCTCTAGAAAGGATTTGGGGATGTAGCCGGTCCGTAAGCTTAAGAAAAACTGGCCCTATCCGTTCTCTCCCCGTTCCGTCTTCACCATCATTCTCCAACAAAAAAACACAGCGGCCACCATCGCTGGCTCACAGCCAATCAGCTGGATCCAATTTATGACAAAACGATGTTGAGAGCTTCTCCAGGCCTTCGCAATGAGGGCTTAGCATGCTATGGGGGTATATGTATTCCCTGGTGGAGCTGAGGAGAAATCCTTCCTCTGGGTTGAGAAAAAGAGTGTTGGGGCGGGGGGGGAAATACATGGGGCCAACATTCCTCACAGCCCCGTAAATAGATCCCAAAGCTGGGGAGCAAGTACATTAAATGAGGCCAAAACGACGCCTGACAAAACAAAAGGCTGCAGACAAAGAGAGCGAGGAGGCTGTGCTGTGCTCATAAACTTGTTCTGAAAGCCACGTCAGCCTCTTGACACCAGCACTTTCAAGGTTCTGTTTTTGTACCGTTTACGGAATTTACAGCAGACGGTGACCTGTGGCCGCTGTGTTCATGGGGCGATAAGTTGATGATGAAGTGAGAAACTTAGTTCCCCAAATCTGGGAAGGGATGAGTCGAACAAACAAGACTTTCACCCAGGAGACCGCTGTTTGTGTCCCGTGTCAAACCCTGTGAACGCCGACTTGTTTCACCGTAGTTTTGTTACATAACTAACATACCTCACCAGCGGCAGTTATGGAACAAATGTAGCTATTTACGTAACAGACATACTTTTTTGATCCCAAACCACAATCTTTTCCTTAATCTAACCAAGTGGTTTTGTTGCGTAAATAAACCTAAAAACGAAATAAACCTACGTTGGAAGTTTATTTTGAAAAGATTTTTGCCGTGTCCAAAACTGACTCTAGAGGGACACCAAGAGCTTCTTAGTTTGAAGAGTCGGGCGACTGACTAAGTTGGGAATGAGAATGTGCTGCATGTACACATGTGCATGAAGGACTTTTACCGGGAAGTATCGCTGCAACAGAAGGACGTGCAGCGACATACAGCGACGTGTCCTTGAATACCAAATACATCCATCAGAAATACGACTAAAACTGAAATTAACACAGAAAACATAATAATTATGATAATAACAAGTCCCTCTCAAACATTTGACTCTTTGTAAAATTCAGACACATTTGTGCTGAAAGGAAACGTTCAGGCTGAAAATCAGGAAACAGCTAAACGATAGTTTCAAAATAAGACTGGGAGTGCATCTGATTAGTGAGCTGCTGCATGTATTAACAGGTTACACAATGGATGTGCATGTAAATGTGTTCTCTGATTTCCTGTTTAACCGGATTTGTGTCCATGCAACAATACTGAATAATATAAAACTACCAAAAGAACGGCTAATTCTCACATTTGCGCAGAAGGAACCAGCTGACTTGGGGCATTTGTGCTCGTCATTTGAAATTCTACAAGAATATTCCACTAAAATGTAGCTGTATGAAAACACGGGATCACATGCACTCAAACATGAGGCTCAGGCAGGAATCGGATCAGAATCGGCTTATGAAAACATTCAACCCCCCGCTACTAACCACACGTGGTAGCCGCACCATATTTCCCCACGGCTCAGTTTAATCTTACTCTCACTTACCTGCCAACACCACTAATAACATCAGAGTGCTTTTTTGGGGGGAAATTGAGCCCAACAAACTCCACGAACCAGGCAGATAATAGCGTAACATCTGCTATTTGGTGCAGGCTTTTGTCCAAAAAGCATCTAACAGCATCAGAATTAGACGCATTTCTTAAACTTGGTGGCTGCAGAGGAAATTGATCCTCTTTCCTTGAGTTACCTGGCAATGTTCGTGCTGTTTTCTTCCCGGCACACAGCGAGGAAACCCTGAATTCGTGCAGTGCTTCTGGGCCGCAGCACTGAGCGTGGTCTCAGTCTTCAGGCTGCCTTTGACACGTTCCAAAATCGGTGTTCTTTGTCACGTTTTCCCAAAAATATATTAAGTTTTGCTTCTTTTGTTCTCAGGTCCACTGAAGGTAAATCTATAGACACTCTTTATAGGACTCCAGCTCATCAATTTTCCCAGCTTTTATCCCCGTTTTAATCTTGCTTATGATTATTTCATTGTTGATACATTTTTCTTATTCTTGACTGCATTTGTTTGATCTATAAATTGTCAAAAACAGAGAAAATCTCCAGACACAAGTTCTAAAATCCTTGGAACGGATGCTTTTCTGGGTCCATGTAAGGTAGTGGAAATGTCCTCCAGCTCCTTCTCGGGGGATCCCGAGTCGTTCCCAGGCCAGATGGAGAGTATAATACCTCCAGTGTGTTCTGGGGTCCGCCTCGGGGTCTCCGGCTATCCAGGAGGCATTCGGATCAGATGCTAAGCCACCTCAAGTGACGTGAGTTGGCAGCGGATCTACTTGCAGCTTCTCTAGAGGTGAGCCCAACCAGACCTCCTACAGTCACAAGCCAAAGTTCGTAGACCATCGACTTGTAAATTTAGAGCTTCACCTAAAGGCAAAGCTACCCTCTTCACCCAAGACCCTCTTCCCAAACCCAAGACTGAAACCACTCCCAACCTGCAGCGGGGAAATCCACTGTTTTCTGTCAAAGTTCATTTGCTTATCAAGTACGTGACTATTTCACTAATTGTTTCAGGGTTTCTGACCCTTTATGGCAGAGAGGTAGAGCTTTGCTCTACAGGTGACTCACTTCTTGCAGGTGCTGTAGTCGGAGCAGCGGCTCAGCGGCACACGGATCACACAGCCGGAGAACGCCACGAACAACGCATGGTGGTCCCGATCCAACTCCAGACCCAGCACCCTCCTGTCCTCCCCCCGCACGTTACATCTAGGAGCAGAGAGGAACACCGACTGTCACGATCAGACATTTTACTTACTTTTTTTTTTTTTTGCAGGCGACTGGCGCAGTCTGGAAATTATACAGAGAGCCAACTGTGAATCAAACTCGATGCAGATAAGACTTTTCAAGCTGTGCAGTCTGAAAACAAAAGAAGAAGCACCCCCCCTCTAGCTGTACAGGGTGATGCAAAGTGTTACAATAGACCAAAGAGTGGGTGGGCATCAAGGCAGAACAGAGAGGAAGATTCTGAGTAAAGGACAAAACGCGAGACGCACCAATGGCAACGTCTTTGGCCGATTCAGATTTTTTAAGAGTCAGACCTGCTGATTCCAACTGCAGCAAGGTTTCAGTCGTCCATAGTTGTTATTTGCATGAAACACACTTTTCAAATGATAAGGAAATACAAACATGTATTTTTGTCCAACTAATAATCTTGGCATTAGTAGTTTTAATGATTTACGCTACTTAGAGCTAGTGTTAGGAAGTAAAAATGTGCTGCGTATTTATTCATGTTTCTCACTAAATGTTCTCAAATAAAATGTACAAAATGACATTACTGAGTAGAACTTGAACGCATCGTAATGCCTCCACAGCTTATTTCTGAATTACAGTAGTGACAAATAATGAGCTTTATGTCTTCTTCACTCACGCTGAAGAACTCGCCGTGTGTGTGTGTGTGTGTGTGTGTGGGATGTTACGGTCTGTGCCACTTCATGGTGACGTTAAACTAAACTAAATGTGACCGTCAAAAATACAGAAATATGAGCCTGATCGGTGCATCTCTAACAAACAAAAGAGAAAACAACGAGGGAGAACAAATTAAAGACAAACATGGAGGGCTTAAAGCCCAACCAACACCCACAAACACAAAAAGACAGACTGACTTGTTAGGGTTGTAGACGTCGATGTCCTCCAGGAGTTGGGTGCTGAAGGACGCGTTGGCTCCCTCGGTGCTGGCCAGGATCTTCAGCACGCGGCCGTCGTCCGAGCCCAGAAAAACCACGGTGTAGTTCTTATACGGCCCCGCCGACGTGTCCACCGCTATCTGGGTCAACTTGAATCTGTAGGAACCAAAAAAAGAAAAGAAATGAAATGAGACGATTGCAACTATCTGCGGTTAATTAGACAGGGGCTAACGATGCCAAATGTTCTGATTAGCATCTTAATGTTGTTGTTTTGTCAAAGTCAATTTCCCACGGTAAACACAACAAACAGTGGGCGACCGCTGAGCTCATTGTGTGAAGCGTCAGCGTGCGATCAATCACTTCATCTACCAACCCACTACTTCCCTTCCTCCATCGCCTACTTCCTTTAATCCCTTCATCCTATTGATTCACCGTCCACCATCTCTCCATCCTCCCACGGCCGTTCAATCCGTCCGTCCGTCCTGTTGTTGAGCCACGTGCCTCAGCACGCTGCGGTCTCTTCAGGCGACACAAGTTTGTATTTATGAGTGAACTATCTGGAGCACCACCCTGCTTCATATTCACCCGGCTCCACACAGTCACACCTGGGAGCTGCCCGGTATCGCCTCCACAGGAGCAGCTGAGGATTAAGAGTCGCGCTGAAGGGCACCTTGAATCCAGCGGTTGTTGACAGAGGGATGAGCTTCAACAAACTTCCTCCAATAAACCCAGATTTTTGCTCGGCATCACATCGCTTCTAGAATCTTCTATAAAAAAAAAAAGGACACCAGCGGACCTCACTTCTCCCTCATTGCCTCCCAGATGGTCCAACCGAGGCTGGTGTGTTTATACACACACACACACACACACACACACACACACACACACACACACACACACACACACACGCACACACACGCACACACACGCACACACACGCACACACGACTGGCACTTCCCCTCAGTGGCGTGCGTGATGTGCTTCTGGTTAGATTTCATTTATCTAGCTCCTCTCCGTGGGGAGCGGCGAGGCAGATGTGATGTTTTTGGCGCCAGATGTGAAGTGGCGCACGTTTTTCCCCCAGTGTGGAGCCCGTGCTGTGTCTGGCTAGCTGTCAGCCTGGCTCTGCTTCAGGAGGCGGGAAGGAGGCTCCTGTGTACAGTCTGTGTGTGTGTGTGTGTGTGTGTGTGTGTCTGTGTGTGTGTCTGTGTGTGTGTGTGTCTGAGGCCGAGTCATGGATGCACTGGTGGAATCAGGGGCGGCGTCTGCAGCCTAGGAGCCCCCACGATCGGAATAAAAAAGTGCCCTCTTGGATGCCCCTATGACGGATAAAACATGCCCTACAGGATTCCCTTCCAGTACACAAAACATGATGGTGCCCTAAATGATGCCTTTAAATGGGGAAAACCTGATTAAGTGTCCTCTAAAGCTTTACTTGTACTCGCACTTGACACCGTAGAGCGAGACGGCGAGCATGCAGGGAGGCGTGTCTGTGCTCTATGCGCTGCATTATTCTCCGAGTGTGAACAAACAAAGTGACCTGTGAAGAAGCAAGAAGACCACGAGTGAGACCCAGAGATATCCCCAAAGACTGTAGGTGTAACCGGCGAAAAGCTATCAATCAACCTCCATAATGACGAGGAGGGTTCGTAATTATCTGTAAACTCACATCTCATATTCATGGACTACGTTATTGCCTTCATTAAAACCCTGTTAAGAAACAAGACAAGTATTAAAAGCATTATAAATAAAGGTTGAATATCCTGTAAACCGTTTGATTTGGCTTCAAAATATTTACTCAAATGTAGATGTGTAAGACCTCCTGTTTCTAACGCATCTCAAAACAAATAGGCCTTCTCTGTAAAATCCCCAGACATGTCATTAGAGCTTTTATTAGTGAACTATTTGTGACAGTCACATGATCGCTCACGCGACCCCCCCCCACCTCCCCGTGCGTCTCTGACGTGGAGCTGAGACCGAGCATCCAATACAATCCGATGAGTTTTAATGAGGGACGAGGTCGTGTGTTCCACCTGAGCTCACTCATCGATACCAATCACAGCCCCGAGTGAGGGAACACTGCTGCTACATTATGTCGCTGTGGAGAATAATACCTGCACGCTCACCGTTAAAGCTGGGATTATAACTGCAGCTCTGCACAGCCACACCGATGGGCAGCTAATGGTTATGTTTTTTTATTGGATTTCATGACGATGTTCTCGAAGGAGCCGTCTGAACAGGAGCTCGCTATATATTTAGGAGACGTGACGTACAAGGTGCTTTACTGGTTGACATCAGTATCAACAGATCAGTAATACTGATGCCTTCATGAGAAAAGGAGACCATCAACGAGACGATTGGCTGTTTCTACGTAGTTATTCTTAGTTCTTGTCATTGGTTCCACCAGGTCGGATTCAGACGAAATGATTGGAAGAAATGCAACCCGTGAGCCCACCAGCTGTCGTCTGACAATGATTTAGATATTTATTGATTATGAATTAGCTTTCACACTGGCTAACAGCAAAACAATCGAGTCGTACACGTCGTTTCTCAACTCAGAATGAGTCTTGCTTCCACATATGCTGTGAACAATGAATCAGCGCTCGGTCAGACCGACGGCCGATGGGACCAGAGATGCTGCTGCAGTAAAACCAGAGCTTCTCTAAAGAGACTCTGGTGCTCGGAAACACTCCCGCTTTAGTCCACAGGGACCTCGCAGTGGCTCTAATTAGGAAACTAATTGGTGGGCTAATTGATCATGAAAATAATTGTGTGGCTCTATATATTGAAAATGTGGGGAATGAGGGAATGATTAATTTAATTGTGCGTGTGTGTGTTCAGCATTCTTGCTTGATGTTCAAGCCGTTAATCAAAATCGTGACCGATTCATTTTCCTTTAAATGTTTCAGCTCCACAAAGAACGAGGGTAACTTTTAATAAACTCAGCTCACAGAACCTAATTGTGTTGCTGCTGGGAGGGACGTCCTCGTGGTAGACTCTTCCATACATTCTTTCTTTAAACTGATCCCTCACCTGCTGGTGGTCCGGGTGAAGTAGGGCCTGTCGTTGACCGAGGGGACGGACTCGTCCATGAGCGGGTAGGACTTGATGAAAGTCAGTGTGTCGTCGGTGAAGGTCGTGGACGACTTGTAGGTGGCCGCCGAGCCCTCTCCGGCGCAGCATCCCGGCCTGCAAGCAGCAAATACACACAAACAGAACGTCAGGAAAGTTTCCACGGACACCAGATGTAAAAACACCGGCAGCTGTTGGGTTTAGGGGGACGAGAGGAAAGAACAGGTGTCGTGTGTCGCGGTTGTTTTCTGTTCGCAGATGAAGTGTGTGCAGAACAATAACAGCAGCAGCTGCAGGAACAAAAAAAACCCTCCATTGTGAAAGGCACAAAAACCTGTTCTTGAGAAGTGACAGTTTGTTATTTAAAAGATATCCTTGCCTTGGTTTTGGGACCTGATCCTCAGGAACAGGTGTCCACGCTGTCTCGCTGTTCCGCTGCTCTTTGAATTTGCCACTGAAGGCCTTCTCTATGTCGTCCATGTAGAAGGCACAGACTGCTGAGCCCGTGATGCTGTCGAAGGGACCACAAAAGGACGGTGGCATTAGAGCGGGGGCGAGGAAAAGTGTCCAAGTCTGACACAACCTCGTCATGGACATGAAAATACAACTGTATTTATCCTGCGCTCTGTTGTCCTGCCTACAGTCCTTGAACACATCATGTGTGACGAACGTTTCCATCAGAAAAAACTAAACTTAAAATTGTGATATTTCATCAACAACATATTATTCTACATGTCTTATTTAAAATCTTTCCCCAAATAAACAGTTTGAAGTAACCAGATACTTGAAAAAACATTTCATTCTGTGCTCCTCAACACGTTTTCTCATACTGCAACCCAGCTGAGATCTGTGACGCGACAACAACACGAATCCCAACCTGTTGGCCTGCGTGGTGAAGACGCCGAGCACGGCCGGCCGGTGGTTGATCTGCAGGACGTTTGTCAGCGACTGCAGGACGTCGAAATAGAAGAAGGAGTCGCCCGGCACCGAGCAGTTGAGCCGGGCTTTGAGGAACGACGTCCAGTAGCGCTCCAGAACCCTCGGAGAACCGCCGTTGTCGTTCTTACAAACGCGAGCGACTCTGGAGAAAACCACCTGAGGCGACAGGAGGGGAAGGTCACGGACAGATGACAATCACGTTCACCGCAAACTCAGGCAGCAGAGCCAACATGTTGAACAATAAAACCCTTGTAAACATGCTGTAGTATGGAGTATCACTGCGATGTTGTTGGACTTCATTCCACTCAGAGACGGAAGTGCAGACACAACAAACCACAGGTCTGGCGGGTGTCTGGTCTGAAACGAGCTCGCTCACCTTGCCAAGAGTGGTGTACTCCACCGCGATCTCGCTGAAGAAGAAGTACACGTAGTTCCCGTACTCAATGGCATGGAGGAAATGGGGCTCTGTTGGGAGACGAGAGAAGAAAAGAGTGTTTGATGTTTCCAGCGTGACGTGTGCTTTAAAAAAAGAAATGTGGATCAAATCTGAATACACCGACAGAAAGATAAGAAGCTCACAGTCACGAGGATAACAGAGCTGGTTCTGGATCAGTGATGATAAAAACACTGAGATCAAGTCAGAAATAACTTGTTTTATAGAATCTGAACACAGTCCGTTTGGCCGGTCAGGATCACAGAGAACTGGACACTTTTGCTTGGTTTTCTATTTGGTCTGGTTCAGACAAAATCAAAGAATGTATTTGCTGAGGGGAGAACACGAAGGAGCGGGAAGCTTCTTCTTATTTGTCCGAAATTTGTCTTTGGAAAGTGTAATCCACACTAACCGAGCAACACGAAGAAGAACTACCAAACACGGTTGGAAAGTGTTCTGTTACCTGCATTTTGGATTTTGATTCCCGCAATCGGGTCGGAATCATGAGTTCACCTGGAATCAGACCCGGATCACCTCTCACAAGCGGTCTGGGACCGGTTGTTGTTGAGAGTTGGGTTAAAAACGGACTGAATGGAAAAGCGTCCGAAGGTATAAATACATAAAGAACCAATCGAGATCTGTCATCAGCTTTTGTGGGTTGAGAACAATTCTGAGAGTAATTAAAATGAGTTGAGAAACACAAGACATAACTTTTCAAACACTATACTAACAGGTGCATCATCTTATAATTGTGCAAATAGTTTTTTAATCAAACACGCGGAACATCTGCTAGTTCCACTGCTGGAGGCTTACTGTTGTCTGCTGCAAGCAAAAGTCTCCACGTAGCTTCAGAAGACGGATAAAAGTCAATATTAATGTCTTTAATTGAATAAATACAACAACTCTTCAGGGTTTGGACCCCTTTTCACAACACTCCACGCTCCTGAGTGAGGACAGCCAGGAAGGTCACTCCTGTGTGGTGATGATTGATTCATCAAGAAAACATAATCGGCCAATTAACGAGATAATGAAAGTGAAGGTAAATTACAGCCCTGCATAAAACCTTCACAACATAACGCGACGTGATGCAGTCAGATGGTGATCAGAGAACACAGAAACTAAGTCACTTATGATGTTAATGTTAATCACTTACATAATTTGGTGTCGGCGAGACATGACTTAACCCTGGGCTGCGGTCGAATGGTCTTTTTTGTTGTGATGAGGAAGGTTCCTAACTGAGTTAAATAAGCAGGAAGTGTTTACGTGGCAGCCATGATAGATACTAAGGAAAGGTTCTTCAACGCTTCCTGTCTTATCTCCTTCAGCATAGGGAGCACTGGACCATCGTTTATGAATGGAAAGGAGATTATGTCGTCTCATTTAAAGCGACGCACCATCCGGCCTTCAGCAACATCCACCTTTGCTGTTTGATGGCACGCTATGGATAAATCTGGACAGGTGTCATTCTGTTTTGGGTAGCAATGCTAGCTGGATGTGAACGTGCTAAACTATTCACTACAGCACGCTGGACGCTCACCTCGCAGCCACTTGGAGTCGTACTTGACGGTGCGCAGGACGGGGCTGCTTTCTCCCAGACTTCTGTAAATCACTGCGTCGCTCGCCAAGAAGTCCGTCATGGTGGCCGAGTAGAAATCGCCACCTGAGGGTGGGGGGGGGGGGTTTGAGATAGATTGTCAGGGATCACAGTTCCCTGGAATAAGCCACTTCTTTCAAGTGTCTATTTGGGTCACAGGAGACTTTTATTGCCCTTTTAAGAAGTGCTGTAGGAGAATGTGACACCTTTAATGACAACCCTGTGTGAACTCTGCATGAATGTCCGTGGAAACCTGGCAGGACTGAGTCCAGGACTGAGTCCAGGACTGAGTCCAGGACTGAGTCCAGGACTGAGTGCAGGACTGAGTGCAGGACTGAGTGCAGGACTGAGTGCAGGACTGAGACTTCAGTCTGGTGCAGTGACTGTCACCAGTGAGAATACCAGAAAACAGTTTAATACAAAACAATAAAAACTAGAATCATTGCCTCACGGCTGTTTGCCTCCCCCGACCAGTCAGGATGCAGTTAACAACATAATCAACATCCTTTTGTCCGTCAAAAAGATCATCACAATTGTGTGAAATTGTCATAATTAGCTTAAAGAATTCTTGGCAAAAACACGTGTTTTGTGAGCTCACAGTGAAACTTTGGACTCTTCAGCCAAATTTTAATTCCCTCCAGGTGTGAAGGATGACAGCCCGAAAACATCATAAAAAAACCACTGTGAGAATACAAACGGTGATCTGTAAATATTACTGGAACTTTAAGGACTGATGACACAGGTCGGCAGCTGTGGGACTTGAACATGCGACATTTCGATTTACAGCCAGCGGTCCGCTCCGCCTTGCTCACCTGCGAACAGGCCCACGTTGGACTGGCGGGACTCGAAGGGGCACCGGGCCTGTCCCACCACCTCCTCCCCTTCCTGCTCCAGTGTGGACATCTAGGTCAGAGAGGACACAGCGACACATTAAATACCTTATGAAGCCACACACGGAACTGTAAAACTGACCAAACCGGACATAAAAGATGAGACAACACGAAAACATCATCACTGTTTACACATGTAAGCAAGCAAAAGTCCTCAAAGCAGTGGGAACTGTGGCCGAATGCAAGAGGGACACGTTAAATTATTATGGGATTATGAAAAGGCAACACATGCGCCGTAAAGATTGGGTTTTATTTGATGCGCTGTATTCGGGTCGAGTCCATAAAAAAGAAAGAAGCGTGTGAAGTTGGAGGTTCCTGCTGTCTCGAGGCCAGAGGACGGTTTATCTCTCGGCCGCAGATATTTAGCTGCTGTTCTCCAACACGCTGTTAACACGGTCGTAAAGCTCAGGTAGGACGGTGGGCGAAGCCCAGCCGTGTGTGTGTGTGTGTGTGTGAGTGTGTGTGAGTGTGTGGAGTTTGAGCGCATGGATTCAACAGCCTCTGTTGCAGCAAGGCGACTGACACAAACACTAACAGCTCATTAACACACAGCTTGGTTCATACGATGCTGTGTCGCTGCGTCAGACGCGAGCAGCGTTCTCTATTGTTGTTCTGTGAAAGACCGAAAAACTTCACCTGAAACACAAAGGTCACGTGGACACAATAACGGAAACACTTATACAACCCGATCAGGGCGAGGAACTCTCTTTCACTTAATCACATCAAATAAGGATCATCAGTTTAGTTAGTCTTGGTTGGTGCATCATTTTGCTTGACGTGTCTTGTTTAGTGTTACGTCATCGTGGTTATGTTTCCATTGTTCGCCTGCCAACAGACTGGAGATTGGGGGGGGGATTCTTACATTTACACCCTGTTTGGTGTAAAAACTGATTTCTTTTGTCCAAATTTGACTCAGCTGACGTCAACAAACACTGTTTGAACTATTCGGTTTTGTTTAAACTTTTTTTGTATAATAATAATAATAATAATAATACTCCATCTGACACACGAGGCACAAATCAGTTTTTGTAAATGTCAGCGTGGACGACGTTTCCTTTGCTTTCATCACCCCCTCGGTCGGTAGGTAGTAGTTAGCGGCTGCTCTGTGTTCATGTGACAACACAATTATCCAGAGAAGAAGAAAACAGGAGATCCAGAACTTCACCACAGAACTTTGCTGCGTGAACTCTGCACAAATGCCCCGAGACATGTGCTCAAACACGCTCCGGCTTCTCAAAGGGTTCCGTGTTTACACCTCCGAACCTGACGCAATCCAACACAACAGCTCTGCCCTACATATCGCTCCTGCCAAGTGTTCACTTATTGTTCAGACAGAGGCTGGGCTTTGTGTCGCTGCTGCGGTGGATTGTGTTTCTCGGGCCGTTCTGGTCCAAAAGGCTAAAAGTGTTTTTAATGCGATTTACAGTTTGGCTTTAACAACAGGAAGCAGACACGCGAGGAGGAGTGAGAAACAACATGTGGCCGAGAGAAGTTGTGACTTCTAATGGACATGTTTTGATCAGAGGGACACATCTAAACACCTAATATGAATGATTTTGTCGTGGCAGTCAGGCTTTATAATTGGTCCGGCTATTTTCTTTGACCAATGCCTATAAGATTATATATTTTATTCATTTAATTAGTTTAAGGACTGTGGTATTCCTCCAAAATAAACTCCAGCAATGTGACTTTGAACCCAGGAGAATAAAATCAAGAAAAACATATTCAAGTGAAATATCATCGTTGGTAGAAAGAGAAATAAACGTTGGTTACGAGCATCACTCGCTCTCCAATCAGTAATCAGAGTCACGCTCTTCAAAATTAAATGAAATCCTGTTTTGAATGTGACTATTGACCCGCGTATTGACCGGACCTCTCGCCCGCAGACTGACATGGTTTGAAGTGAAACGGCAGACCTCAGGAGTCAGAGAGAACTGAAGGCTTCGACAATCGTTACCCCGGTGGGCAGATGAGGACGGACGTGGATTTGACACTTCAGAGGTTTTGTTGCACGTCGGCCGCGCGTTGAAGACTCTGTCGTCCACACAAGAGGCTGTCTCGGCTGTCTGCTCGGTGAGGCCGTGCGTTCATGGCTGGCCGTTCATTCGTGTCTTTGACCAAACACACAGGCCTCTCGCTCAATCCCCTCTCGTCCTCCGCAGTCCCAGAGGCAGATTCCTTGATATGATTTACACTTCCTCCCCCCCCCCTCCCTCCCCCAGCTGCCTGGATAGTCATCTCTGGCACTTTTTCTTTTTTTCCCAGACCAGGGGAAAAAGACGAGGGGAGTGGGGGGGGGGGGCACAAGGAAAGAATCTGTGTTGTGTGTAAATCAGCCTCTCTGCAGCAGAGTGATGATGATGGTTAGATGTAAGTCGGTGTGCCGTTCTTTAAACACATCCATCTTCCTCCTGAGCATGAAGCTTCGGACGAACTAGCTGAGCGATGACACTGTGCAGGTCTTCTATGACACCTGAGACCTCATGGATCCCTGAAGAAGACTTTCCAGATACCGTCGGTCTCTTCAGATGTTGTATTTAGTTCAGAAGCTCCCGGACTAGACTGGGACAATAAGTCAATGTGATCAACTGATCCCACTCGCTTAATCCCACCCCCGAAACCGTGATCGTCCAATCATAGCATAGCAGCCATAACTAGAACAAAAACGGTTCTGGTCTCTATGGATAATATCCCCGTTCATGACTGTACGTGATTTGATTCTTTGTAACTTAACCGTTTAAATGATATCAAGGCTCAAAGTTAGGCGTGAATAGGGGCGTGGCCTCTTTGAGTGACAGCTGGATGCCTCTGCTTGCTGTCTGCTTGGGGGAAACACTGTTATTTATTCATTGTTGTTTTAATTTGTTTTTTAAATGCCATTCCATTGATTTTCATTAATTTAGTTTGTTCTTAAATTATATTATCTCTTCATTCATTTTTCATCTTTTAGACAGTTAATTGCTTCCATTTGTATTCAATGCCCTTTAAACATAATTGTGCTGTTGATGATGTTGTTGTTGTTGTTGTTGCTATTGTGGAACACTTTCTATTATAGCTGCTTTGTCAAGGACAAAACCAAAGACTCACATCTGATTCAGAGATTTGACCCTGGATTGAGTGGCAACAATACAAAATGACTCAACAGCTGCAATGCTCGTGTGAATCCTTTTCTTCACCGCGTAAACCTTGAAATGACTCCTTGATATGAACCACTCAGTCAGTTCTCAGGTCAGCGCACTGGACAAAAAGTGAAATGTAAAGTCTTGATTTATTCCGCTCCCCTCTGGACTTCTAACAGCGCGTCTCCCCCACACTGGTAGATTTACAGTCGCTGCTGTGGGACTCGTGCCCCCTCCTCCTCTAATGGCCCGCTGTGAATCACGGTCCGAACCCGTGATGTCACGTCGGCTTCTTTTCCTCCACGGACCTCGAACTGTAAGCTCGACTTTTGCATCTTCCTCAAAACAAATGTTTCTGAAGTATGTTTTCACTTCTTATTCATCGTTGCAGTCTGCTGCCTCAGGTTAGTCTCTTGACCCTCCTCACTTCCTCCCTCTCATTTCATCTCCTCCCTCTGCTTTGTCGGTTGCATTATTGCCTTCATCAGCACATCTTGTGTTCTGTCAACAGATTGCTCTCTCGTCTTGTTGAGCAAACAAATTATTCCGCCAACAGAAAGCGTTTGAAGTCACACGGCTACGTAAAAAACCCAAATGTACCAACATCCACAGTGAACAGCGCGAGCTGCTCGGTGTCTCAGTCTGACATGATTGCTCCCCTTTTTATATGCGTTTAGTCATTTTCCAGTTATTCCCACACACACACGCGGCTGCAGTTTGACCCGTCAGCTGTGCGTTGCGTCACCGTTGAAAACACATATTGAAGCGCTGGCTGTTCTTCTCTCACAGCCGACAAAACGCTGCCTTCAGCCTTGTGTGACCAGTGTTTGTGAACGTGTGATTTCATATTAAATGTCCTTTTCCAAAGCCGTGTTTACGAGATGCTATCTTTGTCCGGGCTCTGAAAGCTTTTCACAGATGTATTCAATCTGAAGAGTGTTGTGCGATGAACAGAACATTACTGCAGCGCAGGAAGAATGTTCTGTAATGCAGCTTCTTATCATGTTTATGTTTTTCTGACCTTATTTCTCCTTTAGGCGAGACACGACAGGCAGAAATATTGTTTTTCATGCACTGGCCAGTTCTTTATATAAATAAATACTATTTTAAAGTGATCATATTATGCTATAATCTTTTGCAAACTTTTTTATTTAACTGTAAAATATTTAACCTTTTTACTAACCAACTTTAAGGGCATCCTCACCAAAAAAATGTATAAAAAAACAAATAATATTTATTATATATATATTTATTTTCACAATTATTACAATTTGGACTGAATATTTCATAATCATGCATGTGTCCCAGTCTGAATGTGCAACACTGTGACTTCAGTTTGCACTAATACATAAAACATCTGCTCCGTGTGAACCTCGCTCATCCGTGTTTATGTGCGTTTATGACCCGACATCCCAGATAATGAACCTGTCACAATAAACTGTCTTGGCGCTAATGTGACACGAGTTTAGTTTGTGGTTTCCGTGAGTAACAGTACAACCAGAGGCTGCACCCAAGGACAGGACAACACACATCTCATAACAGCTGTCCTGTAATATGATCTGGTATCTTACCTTATAATTACGGCAGGTGGGGTTGAAGGCGTTGGTGCCGCAGGCGAAGAGCGTCTCGTCGTTACGTGGCACCAGCACTTTGATGTAGTTGTAACATTCGTCCTGTCGGGTGAAAGAAAACAGATTGATGTTACTGTGCGTCAGGAAGCAGGTCCTCGTTGGCTACTGGCACGCCAACGACAGAACCAAAGCAGGACTTGCAGCAGGTGGATGTGCATTCCACTGGCTGACACGCACATACAGCCTTCTCTCTGTTTTACAGTCATTATCGTAATCCCCAGGCTGATTTTTGTGGTTTATAATGCAGCTCTGGGGAGGGGAAACGCTACGCCAAAAACGCCCCAGTCTGTCGCCTCCTGATGGATGCGCACACCGATTCTGATAAGCACCTGCACACCGTTGCTTATTGCAAATCTTCTCTGTGCAGGAAGCGAAGGACTGAGAAAATAAAAGCAAAACAAAAAAAGAAAAAGATGTGGATGAGGAAGATGTGTATGTGTCTGGGAGATAATACTCACGCTGTTTTTCCCTCTCACGGTGCACTTCTCCACATCCTTCGTCTTCCAAGTCAGCTTCTGAAAAAATGAACAAGACAGCCAACTGTCAAGCTCAAAGACAAGCTGTTTCTCACCATCCCGGTTGCTCCCGATCGTTCAAGTGCTATTACGAGACAGCTGTGATGAAAATCTCATTAACTTCAATAAACTGTCGTGGAAAAACACAACAACAAACAAACGGATAAACATGAGGGATGCCTGCACAGCTCGTCAGTGGGAAGCTAAACATTGTGGTTCGACAGTGATAAAATATTAAATTGAAAAAAATCACTCTGCAAAAATATACCTGGATCTGTGAGAACAGAACACAAACACTGGGAATCAAAGGATGTTTGCATCGCCTCACAGTCTATATGAGGAGCAGTCAATTAGCCCTAATTAACCCGATGGACAGAAGCTCTGCCCGCGGTACACACACACACACACGCGCACGCACGCACGCACACGCACACACACACACACACACACACACGCACACACACACACACACACGCACACAAACACACTCCATGTATCAGCGCTGGTCATCCAGTGGGCCACTATGGAAAAAAGATCCATCGACCTGTTTAACAGGCTCCGACTACTTCAATGTGCTCCGTTCAATTGTCGGGTGATTTACAGACCAGGATTTTCTCAGAGCTCATAAATACCCCGGAGGAGGCTGGCTGTTGGGTAACATCCTGCTTCAGTTCCACATCATTCTTTTGCCAACAGCTCCCGACAGCGTTTGAGCAGACAGGAAGCTTGACGTCTCACTCAAGTGATGGAGCAACACCTGGGCATTATGGGCCGGCAGCGCGACGGGGGATCTTTTAGTTTGTAGTCGGAGCTTAAAGGAACTCCTTGGATATTGAAGACGAGTTTCTAATGCCAATTAAGCCTTCGATAAGCCCCGCCCCCCACTGCTGCTCCATCAGAGCTACCATGGAGCCCACACTGTCACTAACTGCACTCCTTGGAGGAATATTATCAAAAACAAGTTTAAAAGACAAAGATAGAAGCTAAAGATCACAGTGTTAAAGTGAACCACCATATAGCCTGTAGATAGAGATAGAAGACGATGAAACAACACTGTTACAATCATTAAAAAGCAAGAGCAGCATACCTTCAGTAGCTAGCGTAGCATAGAAGTGCTATCGCTAGTTAATGTTGTGCTAACGTACTCGGCTAACGTTAGCTCCACAGATTGTTACGTAGAAACGTAACGTTTTAGCACTAGTGTATATATAGTATAGTATAATAATAGGCGACTAACCTTAGACTTGAATACATGTGCATATTTTTTATTACTTTCTTGACATTGAGTCTGGAGGAGATATTTGCACATTGTTTAAATGTAGTGTATGTTACAGTATCTCCTTGTGTTTCCACCAAATGAAAGAGAAAAACAGCAGCATGAATCAAGGATTAGTACAAGTCCTGTGCTTTAGATGCTGAAAAGTACAAACTGGAGAAACTTTGACATTTAATTCTCTTTGGGGGGGGGGGGGCTGTTTAGGTCTTAAATTGGTCTCGAGGTGTTCTCAACTACAACCTGGCAACAAGCCACCCTGTGGTAAAATACATTTTGATGCCTTATTGGAGCCGAGGGGTCACTCCTCTTGGACCATACGCTCCTAAAAAAACAATTTGTCCCACAGGCCCCTTGTTCTCCTGTTCTCAGAGCTGGTTTTCCATTTAATCAGAAAGCTTTCAGTGCAGCAGTCGCATCACAAACCACTTAGAACAGGTGAACGCAATCTAACTTACACGGGAAAACACGCATCCTAATTGAGGAGGGTTTCCTTTTTTACACCTTCAAACCAATTTAATTTCCTCTACATACACTATGACGAATGCATTAAAGGATAAGGCATATTATTCTCCATTTACTAATAACAATACCATTGGAATAGCTAAATGTGTTAGCAATCGTTTCTGTCGCATCCAGAGCCTGTTGGCTCTTTCTGCAGACATGGAAAAAGTCTAAAATATATAGTTTTATTACTTCCAAAGGCTCCGTAATTCACTAAAGTGGAAGGAGTCTCTGTCCTTCTGTCTTTCTGTTTTCTCGACAGCCGTTAATCCGATCGGCTTCACACTCAGCGGGCACATTGCTCAGTATCCAAGGAAGCGCGGCGTCGAGCGTGAACTTGTTTGGATGAGCAGTTCTTCAGAAAAGCTGCAGACAGCGATACCGAACGGCAAGCAGTCAGCCCGTTCTGAACGTGCACGTTTTGAACGGACGCGGTGCTAGTTTCCGTGTTCTACAGCCGTGTTCTGTAGATTTTAGTTAACATTATTCAAACATAAGTAAAAAGTTTGTTGGAGACTGTTTTTAGCCGCAGATTTATACACATCGACTACAATGGCCGTGATCATGGAAATAAAGGAACATGTCCACCAGGGCAAAAGGGGCAATACTTGTTGGGATCAAGTCTTTGTTGGTTTTGTTCTTCTCAAGAGACTTGTTAACAATAAAACATAAACTATTGCCAGCCTTATCCTTTAAGGGGAGTTGCCTTTGGCTTTAGATGGTGTTGCACATCTTTTGTCTGCTTTTTTGCTAAAACAACAACAGAATCAATAAGCTGAGCCAGAATAGAGGAATAACTCACTAATGATAACATTGTCGAGCAGTACTCGTCTCCCTGTGGTCTCAGCGCTGTCCTCAGGCCCATGCACGGATCGTCTCTGACGCCACTTTGTGAAGATCTGACGCGATTCAGTGCGAGTCAGCATTATGGTAATAGGCCCTGCCTTGTCCACGCTCCATTTGGTTTACTAATAATTACTTATGGCTACCCAAGACCGGGGGGATCAGTGAGGGGGAGAATGTGAAAAGAGCTGGTTTAAAAAAAAGAGTGAAGGAATGGATCTGTGACGTGAGTCCGTCTCAGGAATGGGAGAGTAAGAAGCAGAATAACGGTAGTCTTCAATAAACGTCCTCACGTCCCTGCTATCACACCGGAGGCGGCAGAGGTTTGGGTAAATGGATAAAAAAAATGCATCATGCAAATACAAAAACATTCAACATCTAAGTTCTCATATAACATAACTGAAAAAAAGATAAACTGCTCTAAAGTTGACCCAAATCAATAGTTTGGATCTCCCTGACATGGAGCGGTGGCCTTTTCAGAATGAATATCCGTGTTCAGCACTAATCTAAATACAACCAAACAAAAGTCCGGGGCCTCGGAGGGCTTTTATTTAAGTGCAATCATGTTTGACAAATGAGATTCAGATAGGAAGGAGCGTGGCACTTCAAAAAGCCACAAGAGCCCCGCTCCACTTGTATTGGATATATGTCTGAAGAGAGATTGCTTAATACTTGAATGAAAAGGCAGGCAAGGGCAGAAAGGACAATAATGAGGTACAAACATCACAAGAGATTCCTGTAACACACACACACACACACACACACACACACACACACACACACACACAACCAGGACTAGTCTGCAGAGAGCCTTGCCGTGCATCAAGCCCTTCTTTGGAGCAGGATGAGGTCGATACATAAATATAAAGAAATATCACGTTCAGTCATATCGGACACTAAATGACCACAAAAACCTTGAAACTATTTTGACATTTAACAAATAAAGCTGGGTGATTCTCTACCGGTAAGTCAAGATCATGAGGTATAAAACACTCCAGAGCAAACTGTTTGCACGGAGCGATTGCATACAAAGTCAATACAAAGATGCAAAGAGACATGAATTCAGACTTTTTACAAATGGGCATCACGGTGTAGTTATTTTGGCTGTTATCTGTTTATTGCAATGAAACAGGACAGACACTGTGTTTATTGTGTTGTCACCGCTGCAGTAAACCAGCCAACACGTGGCTTGCTAGATACAGTGTACACGGCTCGCTCCACATAATGATGTTATCAACAAAGACACATTCACGTTTGGTTTCCCCAAGTATGTGGGACTTCCACAACTCGTACAAAGCAGTAACAGTGGTTATTTCAGCCGTGGTTGATGAAGCTGTTGGTGTTTACACATTACACATTAAATATTGCTCAGTTAATACATAGACATCGACTCAAACACACGTCATAGGTTACATGTTGGACCCATATATCAAACAATGACTCAGAGGTGACTGTGGACAGACTCTCCTACCTGCTGTGGGATTATCTGCTCAGACGAAGTGGCAAGATTGATGGCAAACACATGGTCCCTGAAAGAGATAGAAAGTCAAGAAACCATCAGTGAGGTCGTCTCCACACTCTTTTTGTCAGCCTCGACACGCTCTGAATGCAAAAGCTCCAAAAGCCTCCGATCCCACCATTGCACCAAAACTTGGACTGATTGAAAGCTGCCCAGCAACAGAGGGCGGAAGGTAAAGTTTGTTGGCTTTTCTACAAAGTCTTCCAACGCCAAAACCTTTCCCCAACTGTCGACACAACCCGTATGAATCACTCGTGAAGTGAGGCATGCACTTTGTTGTTTGCAGCTGTGGAAAATATCAAGTCCACTTAGGTACATTAGCAATCTCTCTACCTTTTCAGACGGCGTTCTTGGCAGTGAGCGCGCTGCAGTTTGAGACCGAGCCAACAACTGTAGAGGAATTTATTTTGCACAACGAAAAAATAGGCGGAGGAGGTGCAACAACAACCTCGTACTTTTTATATAATTAACCCTACGGCATCTTGATCGAGAGGGGCGCAACGTGCAATTAGGCTGAGAGGTTTGCGGGGGGAAAACTTCAGACATTCAGCCAAAACTGCAAACAATGAAAGGTTTGGTGAGGGGGCGCTGCCTGGGATAAGTTTGGGTATATTCAAGTCAACAGAAAAAAAGCAGAAAAATCCTGTTGAGCCTTTTTCCGAGTAAACAACGTAAACGAAGCTACATGAGATCATTTGTAATGTCACAACGAGCAGGTGAGTGGGGGCGACTGACCGGGCAGCGATGTAGAGCATGCGGTTGATCCTCAGCATCCGCTGGAAGTCCAGGCCCAGGCGGACGGTGTCGTTGTCCGACAGGAGTCCCTGGAAGCTGGGATAGAGGTAGGAGGCTGCGTGTGGGAAAAGAAGGAGAGAAAACAGAAGCGTTTAAAGAACTCGAGTAACAAAAGACACCAGATAACTAGCTGAGCTTCTCAACAAAGGTTTGAAAACATGATTCAATACTGGGAATTAATATCAACATAAATACATTAATATTAACTGTTAATATAACTGTAATTGTTCACCATGCAGGCCTGCTTTATTAAACATGCAATTCATTCTTAATCGTCATAAATTAGTGCTTTTACAAACAGCTGTTGTTATTTTCAGACTCATAAAGAGACAGAAGGACAAGAAGGCTCAACATTTATCCATAACTAATCTGCAGCTTAGCAATAAAAAACATGACACCTTCACAGTGTAAGAAACACTAAGCCAAGGTTGCAGTTTGGCAAAATGTGCCGAAAAATACAGAGCACGCACTGTATGTTAATGTGCACTCGTGGAGGTGGATGAGCAGCGGAATAAATAGAATCCAAAGTTGCAAATTAGCTGGTCGTGTCACAGGAGTCGAGTCTGATTTGAATAAACGGCGCCTGGTGAGGAGTCTCGACCGTCTGTGAGGACGAGGAGACGAATCAAAACCATCTGAACGGAAAATGTGTCCGTCTGGTGAACCCGCATTCATACAGCTCTCATCTGTCTCTGAGGTCATCGAAGTCTGACTCGGTGTTGTCATGCGATACAATGGAAAAAAGACAAAGACAGATAGGATGAAGTGAGGCAAAGAGAAAGAGAAGGACGTACAGTGAACTCTACGGTCACTACGGCTGCTTTCCATTTCTCCTTCTTTCTCTTCTGCATTTGAATTCCTTTTTGTCATTTCTCTATCCCTCACACTAACTCACTGGAGGGACACATTCATTTAAACAATGGGAGACTGTGTGCACTACTTAAATAGGAGAGTGACAGCCAGTCAGTAGATAGTAGATAGTATATACATACATATATA